TGGCGCGGGGGTGGCACCCCCCCCCCCCCCATGTGCGTTCTAGGATGGGAAAATGGCATGTGCGGGCGAGGGTTAACCCTCGCCGGCACAGGCCATTTTGCGTCCTTCGACGGCACAAGGGTACGATCCCCCCCCCCCTCGCATTTGGCCCCTGATCGAGCTAGAGCTTCGCGGAAAAAACGAGCGTGCTGCCTGTCACGAGAGGAAGCCGATGATACCCAATTTTAAGGTCATATGTCATCGGGTGACCTTCCAGGTCAGGTCAATGACGAGAAAACCGGGAAAATCGGGACCTGTTAGAAAGTCGTAAAGTGTGGCTGTTATGTGGTTTTCCGGGGTGCTGATCACGAATATCGTGTTAGTTTTGATCAGGGATGATGTCTTCAAGCATTTAGACCAGGTCGGGTCAGGTCAGGTCAGGTCCACCGGTAGGGGTTGTGACGGGTATTCGTAATACGTGTCAACCGCCTCTGACAGCTTCGTAACTTGTTACGAAGGCACCAAAACTACTTCGTTAATATTCAAATGGTTGCTAAATTCGAATTCAGCTCCAAAAACTAGCCTATAAACATGTAAAACTCGAAAAAGTGAACCGAGGTCACCCGAGGTCACCAAAGGTCAATGACCTGACCTGACCTTCAGGTGACCTTGACACCCACCCTTATGTATGGGAGCAACATCAAATCACATGTTTGAACGTTTGAAACCACGAAAAGCTTGCAAACGCGCGGCTAATGCGAGCCGACATACGCCGAATCGCGATTCCGGCCAAACATGGTCTCGGAAAAGAGGTCACAGGTCAAAGGTCATTTAGGTCAGGGTCATGAAATTTTCAGAGTAGGTGTAAAATTGATCAATGCGAGGGTACTGAACGTTTCGTCGCGATCGGCCGCTTTTTACGCGAGTTATTCGCGAAAAACCTTAGGGGGGTTTGCATCAACACCCCCCCCCCCCCTGTGCCGGCGACTGGCGAGGGTTAACATTAGTGTGCTACCCCTTCACATTGACCCACCAGACAGTGATAAACCTACTTATCCGTGTTGGGCGTTTCATTGAGTTTTTTTTGTGTTTGTGGGGGGGGGGGGGAGGGCAAACACGAGCTAGGTCGCTGGCCAGCTGTCATTTTAAATTTTATAACTTGCTACTCGGCGCTCTCTGGGCCTTAGCTGTTTCACGGCACGCCGCTTCACTTCGCTTCAGTGCGCTTCACTGAAGCGGTGAGGTAAACGGAACTTCCGATGCTAAGGTATGACCTCATCACAAAACGCCAGCGTGCTGCAGTATATTGCTTTCAGTATTGCTTCGCAATGAAATATGTCGCGGAATACAAACATAAAATGTAGCGGCCATATTTCTGATTTCAATGCGAAACAATACTGCAAGCAATACCTATAATACAGCGCGCTGGCGTTTAGTGATGACGTCTTACCTTAGCATCGGAGGTTCCGTTTAACTCGCCGCTTCAGTGAAGCGCGCTGAAGCGGAGTGAAGCGGCGTGCCGTGAAACAGGGCCTTGCTCTGAAAATCACAAAACCCTGTCTTTTCCCGTAGCCATGAACACTGAACAGTTATTGAACGAATTATTTAATATTTCTCGTTAAATCCATGTACCTAAGATTCCTAACAAAAACGTATTGCGGAGAAGGTAATTTTGTGAGAAGTTCACGTTTTGACTGGGGGGGGGGGGGGGGGCAAATGTTGGCCACTGGGGGGGGGGGAATCCGCTCCACTGGGGAGGCAATTGCCCCCCCCCCCCCAGTTAACATGTTAGACGAGGCCCTGCCCTTAGAAACTGAGGCCTCTCTCAAAAATCCGTGGCGCCGCCCCTGCTCAAAATGATCAGCAAAGAAAATAAACCTTTTTATAAAAGAGATTACTTTCAATATTTTGATATAGGAAGAACTATTAACCTGCGCCCCACTGGGGGGAGAGGCTATTCATAGCCCCCCCCCCCTGCAGATTTTCTGCAATAACTTCTAAACCGCTTGACGTATCGACGCCAAACTTTCAGTATCCTTCGGCCTCATCAATTTGACACCTTGTGTCAAAATTTGAACTTCGTATCCATCATAGGTCGGCCGGAAATGACGTCAGAGTGACGTCATGTTCGGCCGATTTCGACGCAAAACATTGAACCACGGGAATCGCTCTCAAGAGCTCAGTTTTTGAGCTAGATCCAATTTTTCTCTGCATTAGAGGACTCAGAATGGACTGCGCTATCAAACTGCTATCTCGAATTTTCGAAGTTTTGAAAATTTTGAAAATTATTAATATTAAAATTCAAAATTTGTATTTTTATCTTTTTTTCAAAAAGTATTTGACTTTTCGAATAAACCGGAATATATATGATAGAACATATGCTTATGACTTACCTACTCTAGCAAGTTTCAGCCAGATATCTTCAAAAATGGCCAAGTTATACGCATTAGGTATAGCAAAAACCTTGCAATTTTAAGATTTTCAAATCAAATTTTCAGTACGAATTTGACATCGTACACCAATATAAATAGCACCATCGTGTTCCTAAGCTCAAACTGCATCCGATAGATATCTGACTTGTAAGACGGCAGCCAGAGCCCAAAATGTGGTCAAGCTAAACATCGATAACTTTTACTTTGACCTGACCTGTGACGTCATCGGTGACCTCGAGTTTAATGAAACTAGGTTAGGCTCGACAGTTTTTCTGGGACTATCAGATGCCGTTTGAATTTTGACGACCGGCCCAGTACATAGTTTCGGAGTTAGGAGGGGGCTATGAATAGCCCCCCCCCCACAGTAGGGCGCGTTATACACAGATCCCAGTGGGGCGCTGAATAAAAGGAAATGACCCCTGCAAGGCACACGCCACACATTCCTCAGCAAGGCACCTTTTTTTTGGACGAGAATTAGTGCATATACATAGGGTAATCGTTGGGCCGTAATCGAGCTCCTGATTTGTGCTTTTGTCAACTCAAGCTACGGAACTGCTATTCCAGTTCAAAACCCCATGTCAAAACTAAAGTGAACTATTTCCTTTAAGGGTCTAGTCCCTTTAACTCCCATAACGCTGTTGGCATTGTGTGCTCCATTATTCGATGTTGGCTATTTATCGGCCAGCCGTCTCTCGCGCGAGAGAGGGCTCTCGCGCCGAGACTCGAGAGGTTTCTTATTTAGATGGCTGGTTGGCGGGTACATGTCAACAATTTTGAGACGAATGACTTCGGAGTGGGGGCCTCAACCATACGTTTCATTGAATAGGTATGAATTCAGAAACTTTGGGAAACAAAACTCTGATAATCAGGGCTGCGGAGTCGGAGTCGGAGTTGGAGTCGGTCGGAGTCGACAGTTCTGCTCGGAGTCGGAGTCGGAGTCGGAGTCGCCAAAATCTTACCGACTCCGACTCCGGAGTCGGAGTTAACGCTGCATGTCTCAACGTCATGCACTGCACCTGTCTAATTGACGATACTGCGCTCGAAATGAGATTTTGTCGAAAAAAGACCATGCTGCTGTTTTGGACGAACGTTTTCAGCGAAAGAAGCAGAAGACTGTGAATTCCTCAGAACCTGCTTTTTAATTCTGCATGTTATCTGTAACGCATATTTGCAACGCAAAGCCTTGGAAGGCGCAAGGGATTGTTTCAGGCAAGATAAAAACGTCTCCGTTATGAACTTCAATATCATGATATGGATTTTAACCCTCGCCGGCCGGGGGGGGGGGGCGGGTGCCGCCCCCCCCCATAGGGTTTTTCCGCGATAGCTCCGAACACGCTGGCGATAGAGAGCTGAAACTTGGCATACCTGACCTTTGATTCAAGCCGAATCTTTTGACACCAACCGCATTTTTGGGTCAGGTCAGGTCATTGACCTATGACGTCATAAGTGAACCTCTGCACGGTCTTCAGATGTCGCAAATTCGCAACGCCCTCACTGCCAGAGGAGATGTCACAGGGAAATGAAACTTGCAGGATCTAGTATCCATTATGAGTCTCACAACTTGTATATCTCGGATTTTTCCTAAAGGTCATATGAGGTCAGGTCATTTTCGTGACCTCACCATTATAAGTCAATGGGGAAAAATTCAAACTGCTATTCTGGCGCCGGGAACGATCTCCCACTATCTCAATCACACAGAATCGTGATTTGATGCACTCCTTGCAAGGTAAGATGCGTCACTTTTGCAATGTTGACCTTGCGTGACGTCATTTATGACGTCATCAAGGTCATATTAGTTTTTCGTCAATAACTCTTGATCAAATTGAGCTAGCGAGTCAGGGAAGCCACCAATGGACTCAGTAAGACCTGCCGAATCGAATGATATGCGACATGACCCCTTTCGACCAACTTCGTGACCTTAGGGTGCTGACCTGACCTTGACCTGAGGTCAACACCCCAAGTTGACCTGACCCGAACAAAAAGTATATCATTCGACGCGCCTGAGCGAGGCGAACACGATGCTGCCAAAATCGCGGCTCTGCGGCCGTTTTTTTTGCGAAGTTATTCACCAAAAACTGAACCGTACCTTGGGGCACTTGACCTGACCTCAGAGGTCACCGGTTGACCTAGGACCTTAAAATCGGGTACCAATCTCTGCGTCTCGTAACGGCACACACGCTCGTTTTTTTCCGCGACGCGCTAGCTCCACCAGGGGCGAAACGGCGAGGGGGGGTCGTACCCGCCCCCCCCCCTCGGCCGGCGCGTATGTAGAAATTTAAACCAATAGGTCCGGCGAGGGTTAATAGAACCATCCGGAGTCGGAGTCGGAGTTGGAGTAGGAGTCGGAGTCGATTTTTCAAGCCGGAGTCGGAGTCGGAGTCGGAGTCACCCTAAAATCCATCGACTCTGCAGCCCTGCTGATAATACCCATGTACCTACCTTTAAAAAAAAAACGTTTTCCGGTGGGAGGATATAAATCGTAATTTAAAGGATAATAAATGATAATTGATATTAATTGTAAAAAGACTGACATTTTCAGAAACTTCCCCTCAGAGGCGCACGGGGCTGTCAGGTCCCGACCCTGGGGGGTGAAGGATGTTCCTTATACCCCGGTGAAGGCCGCTGAAGTACGGCGCCCGCCGCGCTCCGGTCTGGTGGTCGCCGCGGTACGCTCTCTGCGCTCTCCGGTCGGGCTCAGTGAGCACAGACCGCCGCCGGCGGACACGGACGCGGTGTCAGAGACCGTACGAGCGGTGCCTCGCAAACGCTGCAAGAGAGGACCGGTCGCCTGGCCGCGGCGTGGAGGGTGCGGGGGCCGCGTGTGTGCGTCAACTCAAACACGGAGCAGACAGCGGTTCGGTGACCGCGCTGTGAATTGTTTTTTATTATCCAGTGTACTGCGCGGTCTTTCAAGATGTCCAACGATGAGTTTGGAATATACAACTTCAAGTAAGTGACAGATATGGTGGTTGAGTAAGGCATGCTGGTCAGTTGTTTATGTGGGCTGGCCGATGTAGTTTCTGGTTCTGCCTGGCGGGCCGGCCTCCAGTGACTGATCTATTTCGCGGTGATGCGGGTTGAGGTGTGTGATGGCGGTCATGTGGCAATGTGGGGCAAAACAATACTAATAACTGAGAATCAGTGACGTAAAGCCGAACAAAGGTGCGTACCCAGAATTTCGCTCCGGGGGGGGGGGGGGGAGGGGGAGAGTGATCTGAGTCCCGAGTCTTTGTGCTGCCCCCACCCCCACCCCCATCCCCCACCCCCTGCGCCGTTTGCAGGTCAACTCCGCCTCTCGCCATGCCCCGGTCCGATTGTTTCATGCATTCCATCGAAGGTAATGCCCTGCCGTAGATTGCATATGTATATTGGACTTCCCCGGCTCGCCTCCCCTCGTGTCTCGCGCCATTCCACGACAATTAACGCAACACGGAGAGGCCACAGGCGCGGGACTTCTTCACCTATGAATTGATTCACAGAAGACCTTGAGAAGTCACCACCGTTCCGTCGTTTCCATCCTCTCAAAACATTCCAATGCTCCGCCTCTACGCCTCAACCCCCTGTTCCGAGCTGGACGGGCAACTTTATCGCATGCGGGAACGCCCGTAAGAGCACGCCCGTAGCCGGGTGCGGTGCTGGTCGGGGGCTGATCGCCGTCGACCTGTCCTCTGAACGGGCTCAGCTCCGGCGACTCACCACTCACCAGGGTGCTCGCCCAGACCAATGTCTCTCCCTAATTCCTATGTATGTATGTATTTGTATGTATGTATTTACGATTGCATGGGCGATCCGCACATGGCGTGGCGACTGGCGATTATTCCTAGCATCCTTCCGACCCTGAAATGAATGGTCAGGCCCCTTCAGGTCATCAGACGGAAGGGGCCTGACTCAACAAAACAAACAAACAAGCTTGAATAAGTAAGTAGATGGTGGAGATGCCAAATTTGGCCGGGTGGCGGCTGGTGTAACCCCGCAACAACTTACACTCCGGACTCCAGCGCATTTTTGGGCAACCCAAGATTAGATAATGGTATAAGGAAGACGGGGGGGGGGGCATCGTCCACCCATCTGGCTCATCTGGCTCAAGACCATTGCTAATCAACTGAATTGTCTCTTGATTGGCTGCAGCGACGCGGCCTGGGCGTGCACGTGGGGAAGCTGGCCCACTGAGCGTGTATGAATACTTTTACTGATGGGAATTATATTTTTGTAATTCGCTCGGAATATACCGCAGCATTGCCATTTTCCTTCTTCGATCGAAAATGGTAAAAACATTTAACTGTACTTAGCGTCAAATATCACATTGATTATGCACCCCATTTAGTTACATATTAGACTTACAGTGCATGCGTAAACCGAGGTCACGTTTGGTGCATTCGCTAGATAACCCGTCGTGAAAACGGCTAGTTTCTATTAAAAAAAAAAAAATCAGGGAGCCGCAAATTTAGGGTTCAGGGAACAAAAATGTAAAAAATGGCAGATATAATTATTTACGGAACTTCTATATGCGTGGATTTCGATGACCGTCCGTCTGGCCAAACTTCAGATTTTGTACATATTTTAGGAAAAGCCTCTCAATGAATATCGCATGCCCAGTAGTCAGTACCCACAGGTATTTCGTTTTTTACCGAGTTCTTCCATTGAAATGCTCGAATGTTTGCTAAACATTACCTTTAAATAAACAGTTTACCCACACGACTATTTGACTTCAGGCCAACTTTATAATCTGGCTTGAAAAAGCCGTCTGCAAAGCATACCTACAGCACAATAAATTCGGTGCGCATCTTTCGATTCGTTTTGTTGAGCTGCAGATACCATAAGGTGTTTTCACACAGATGTAGCTGCCAAAGGTTACTATTTTAAATGTTTCCATGACCTTTCATGACATAACTCAACCCGTGGTGTACATAATATGGAACCATGAGTTTAACTTTCATATTGAGTTCTCAATTGCCACATGCTTCATGATGTTTGCAAGCGTTTAATTGACTCATTTCATAAAACATAAGGGATCTGCATTTTCTCACATTGATCATGCAGATTCCGCATATGTAGGTCGCTAAAAATGGTAACAAACATCAGAAATCCGTGATGTGTTTCATACATCTCGTCATTCTTATCAACAATTGAAGCTTCGGAGATTTCGGAGAAGAATGCCAGTCGGAGAAGCTTGGCTGAGCTTCCTGTTGAAGTTTGAGCCGCGGTCATTGGCCAGTTTTGTTTGGTTTGCTGGCGCTCACTGCCGCACCCTGCACTGACTCGGGGCGCCGAATGTCTATTGTTTGACGGAGGGCGGAAGTGACGGCGAAGCATGAGCTCGCTTGGTGTAACGTGTGTATTGTGCGGCTTACGTACGCATAGTTGATACAATTAATAAAAGCCCATTCATGCAATGGTGTAATCACTGAGCACGGATGATGCTTAATACCCCCCCCTCCCCCTGCCCTAAATATTAGACGAAAGTCTTGAACAATGTGGAGCAGTCCGCTGTGCATGCACCAATTAGTTCTACTAGTAGTCCCAACAAGGTAGAAAACAGATGTAGGGGAGACCGGGGAGAAGTGGGCCATTATTTTGACAACAACTTTGAAAATTCGTAAAAAATATAATATTTAAGATTTAAGTAAAATGATTGCATTTGCTGGTAAACGGTTTATTTCTCCTTCATTCTTTACTGTTTTATGCGTGTTTCTTCGCGTGTTACTTCTCAAATTTGAATTTTAGGAAAAGCTGAAAATGGGGTGAACTGGGACACGTCCAGGAGAAGTGGGACAGATGATGGGGAAAACTGGGACTGACCAAGAAATGCGATTTAAATGGAATACAACTAAAATTTCGTGAACCATCACGAAGAAGAAGGTGTTTTAAAAATTGACACTTTAAGAGATCACCTCGATTATCTTTAATTTGAACTACACTGACAGCACTGAGTATCCTGGAAAATATTCCCATGCATTTGCATGCAGGAGAACTGGGACATGGTTAAGGCACATTGTCCTAGTTCTCCCCAAGTCGTCATTTTTTATTTCAACTGTCTTCCACACAAAAAGTATAATAGATACATTAAAAAATGTTTCTGCATAACTAAGATGACTTCACTGACATCCGAAGGTGAACGGTCTGAACAGTTCACATCGCTGAATAAACGGCAAATTGAGTTAGAGTGCAATGCCCAAAAAACGCATTTTAGACCCCAACTCAATATCTCAGAGACAGGCAACCGGAAAAGGGAACCGCTTGGTTGTGACGTGCCCCGACTAAATTCATGAGAAAATATGCAAAAACGAAATTGTTTGTCCAATTGGTCATCCAGATATTGTAGGTGTCCCACTTCTCCAACGTCCCAGTTATCCCCACTCTCCTTGTTGAGCTCCAAATACAGTTTTTTTACATGGCAATGTGTGGCAATTACATGGCAAGTGTAGTTATCGTTCAAAAAATGTGTCAAACCCGGCGTAGGCGAACTGAGCGCTGAGAACACACAAAAGGGTGGCTATTAATCACCAGCACCAACCGCATCAACAAAACAATGGTGTCAAACGTTTCGATGGAGAACATCGAAACGTCGGTCGCAGCTTGCCGAAACGGAAGCACATCCAGCTACTTGACAAGGAATGTCTATTGAAATCCCAAACATGTTTGAAGTTCACCGAATATACCCTGGAAAAGAACCAAAGGATCACTCCTGACCAAACGATCCTTACTTCCGAGGATCGACTGAATGGGTTCTTGCCGAACAGGTCATTTTCACGCCATCTCCGTAGTGTCCAACGATCCGGTTTTGGGAAGTGTCTCACGAATGATCGTGTCGTGGTCTTTTTGTGGCGACGATCTGTTCATCATGTTGAACAGAAGAATAAGCTGGACGAATGCGCGGGCCTGGGGTGATACATAGAGTGTCCCCTTTTCCCACAATATAGTCACATACGTCCCGGAAGCTGAATTTAACTCATTACGCCTTTATTGGACCAGGAAGTATATGTAGGGGAGAGTGGGGTAAGATGCCCAGAGTGGGAAAGACGCCCCACCCCCTCTAGCGGCGAAACAAAGAATCGGACCTGGAAATTAATGTTCTTAGCGTAAAGCGGAAGCCTGCCTTGTTAATTGCACACAAATTTGCGAAGCTCAGTTGGGCAACGGTGGGCTGGTGATTGCATGTTTTTTATTTGCTGCTTTCAAAAAATATTTTAGTGTCAAAACATTGTAAATATCAAAGAAGGTAGATAATTTTTGCGTCCCTTGCTATAGTCGTGGTACATTAACATGCGTGTACTGTTTCCCAAACAGTTTGTTTCAGGGTGTAGTTTTATGGCTAACAAATTGTACTGATTTAATGTTGCTTCGGTACCTTGGGGTGAGATACCCCCTGTCCTGATGGGGAAAGACGCCCCCCTAAATCCGTAGGCTGTCCTTCAAGCAGCCCGTCAAATCATTTATTACATACTTGTGATGAGAGACAAATGCCGATCTGGGACTATTGAGAGTCCAGTACGGTCGGGTGCTCCCCATGCCGGTCTCTCGGCCCACACAGCGACTTTTTGGGCGGCATCTGATTCTGAGAGCCCTCACGACGGCCTCTGTAGGCCCCATTACTGGCTCCAGGGCCCCTCACGACATCCTTTGAGGGCTCCCACGTTGGCTCCACGGGCCGCGCTGGCATCTGAGGTCCAGAGCCTATTTTAAGGGAATTTGACTGGGGGGGGGGGCAACCTGGAAAATTGTCTCTAATAGGTAATCCATCAACCCTCGCCCGCATTGGTATTTTCCAGCTGCGAACGTATATGGGGGGGGGGGGGGGGGGTCCGTTGGACCTTCCCCCTTGCCGTTTCGACCCTGCTCGAGCTAGAGCTTCGTGGAAAAAACGACCGTGTTGCCCGTGATGAAAGGAAGCCGATGATACCCAATTTTAACACTCGCCGACCCTCTCCGACACAGGGGGGGTTGATGCA